TTTATACGTAATTTATAATTGTTTACATTGATGATGTTTTAGTTTTTTCTAAAACAATAGATCAACCTATGAAATATTTAAAAATATTTAAGAATTTAGTTAAGTATAATGGATTAGTTATATCCGCTCCTAAGATGAAAATATTTCAGACTAAAATTAAATTTTTGGGCCATGAAATTGATCAAGGAACTATTATTTCTATTTAAAGAAGTATTAAATTTGCTTATAAGTTCCCTCATATCATTATTGATAAGAAAAAATTACAAATATTTTTTGATAGTCTTAATTATATTGTCGATTACTATGAGAATCTTGTCAATGATACTGGTATATTAAATGCTAGGCTTAGAAAAAATCATGGCCCTTGGACTGATAAACATTCTCAAGCAGTCCGAAGAATTGAAAATAAGGTTAAATATTTGCCTTGCTTATCTCTCGCTAATCTCAAGTATTTTAAAATCGTTGAAACTGATGTTTCAGACTTAGGATATGGAGGAATTCTAAAACAGGTTATACCTGAAACATCTAAAGAAGTTTTGGTTAGATTTACCTCTGATAAACAGAATTCTACCCAGTCAAAATATTCGACTATCAAAAAAGAAATGCTTTCTATTATAAAATGTGTTTTGAAATTTCAAGATGATTTACTTAATAAATTTTTTTATTACAAATTGATTGCAGCTCTGTTAAATCAATTATTCAAAAAGATGTTTTGCAAAATAAATATTTGCTAGCTGGCAATCTCAATTATCGATGTTTGAATTTGATATTAAACATATTAAAGATGAAAATAATTCCCTTGCCGATTACCTCACCCGTGAATTTTTGCAGGGAGGAAGAGGCCGCAGTTATGGACGAGGCCTTGGAAGAAGGAGTAATAATATGTTACCCCAAAGTGAATTAAATATTCCCCTTATAGGGGATTGGACTACGGTCTATAAAGGTAGAAATATGCAACAATTACCCACCTCAAAAAAGGAAGATATACCTTCCTCTTCATTTTATAAAAAGATTGTATCTTACAAAGAAACTACATCAATGATCCACCTCAAGAACAAGTAACTGATTATTTTGAGAATCCAGTTACAGAAAAAAAATTATATATATTGATGATGAGGATCTAAAAATAAATTCAAATGATAGATGGACTATTAAAACAAGATACCTCGAATCAAGAGGATATTCAGGCGTTACTGGTAAATCAAGACCACATTTAGAAATATTAGCAACAGTTACCGAATCAGTAACTTTTACTCATCATTATCAAAACAACAATCCTGAAAGTTTCATAAATTTTAGCAAATGCCACATTAATAAGATTTTATCACCCAGAGAATGGGGTCTTAACCCTAATGGTGAAAAGACAATAAGAATTGCCAAAGAAAAATATATTTATTTAAATTATTGGGATTATGTCCAGGCTTTCACCCATGTTTTTTATTACCAAAATCCTAAGAATAAACATTCTTGGTTTTTCTCAATTAATCCAAACGTGATTAATAAACTCATTCCAAATTAGTTTTATGCCTCGTATATTAAATTTGGTCCTATGTTGGAAATTTTTCCAAAAGAGTTAAATAAAGTGTATACTCCTTGGTGCGATAATAGTCTACTAGTGTTAAATATTTCATCAAATTTGATAACTGGACAATGTCTATTTTTTTTCTTCACTAAGTTTCAAATTTTTTGAATTTGGAGATGGACTATCACTATTTACAGTGACAAGTTTAATGTCCCAATTCTAGAAAAAAAATTTCTATCAATGGTGGAATAAAATGAGTTTAGAAGACATCTAAAACAAAATTATTCTAGTCAAATCAACCATGAATGAAGATAAAAATAACAATGTTAGAGACTAAAACTTCCAACAAATGTTTATGGGAGACTTGAAATACTTTTTTCAAAGAAAGTATCTCAACGAAACAGAAGAAGAAATTATGGTTAGGACTTTGGATCACATGAAGACTCAATTTTTCTACACTTTTCAATCTCAAGCTTCAAAAGATGATATACAATCTATGAAGACCAGTTCATCCATGAGATCAATAGATTCCAACGCCTTTGAAGATTTAGCTAGCGAAGCTCAAAATAATGACCTCACAACTGAAGACTTCTGAAATGCTACGATTTAATCTATGATCCAAAAAACTAAAGAAAAAGCCAAGGCTAAGCAATGACAAAGGACTAAGCAATAACAAGAATTGTCCAGAAGCAATAATGTGAAATACAAAGATAAGAGAGAATCTTATTTTAAAATAATAAAATAAAGATAAGAGAGAATCTTATCTTGAAACAATAAAATAAATATAAGAGAGAATCTTATATATCTTTACTTTAGAAAGTTTTTTTTATTGTTTGTGAATTATTATTGTATCGATGGAGCCAGTGTGTACCCGACATTAATAATTCATCTTTGTTTGTTGTAACCAGCTATTATAGGTAGTTATTACCGGCTTGAATAGTAAGTCTTTGTATTCCTATATAAAGAGATTTTTACTTTTCTTTTGTAAGCACACAATTTGAAAACAACAAATTTCATATATGCTCTGCCTTCTTTCTACGATAAAATACTTATAATTTTGATCTAGATTATGGTGTTTCACATATTTTTTTTCTCTCTGATATATATATATATATATATATATATATATATATATATATATATATATATATATATATATATATATATATATATATATATATATATATATATATATATATATATATATATATATATATATATATATATATATATATATATATATATATATATATATATATATATATATATATATATATATATATATATATATATATATATATATATATATATATATATATATATATATATATATATATAATATTATTAGGATAATTTATTATATTAAATTTTTTTAGAAATTAATTATTAATTAATTAGCAATTAAAAGTATGAAATGTCCATTGGGTCTCTTATCTATTTTGTTTCAACAGTAATTCATTATTCAAGTTTGTGATATGTAGTATTATTAAGCTATATAAACAATAAACACATTTGTTAAAAATTTAATGTGAGACTATATTGACAAACAAAAAGTGACACTTCAGTAATCTTTGTTCAATTTCTTCCATATCCAACAAGTTTATCAACTTATTCCAAGAACTTCGACAATAAAGTTCAATGTATTTCATCATGTTTATACAAAACCTATCATCCCAAAAAATTTTCAATCTGCATTTAACATGACGTAGGTTATTTATCATGAAAAGATAGCGCAAAGCAAGATCCTCATAAGCTTATGACTTAGTTTTCAGTTTTCTCTCAAATTTAGCAGATTGGCGGTGGTTTCATGGCCAACAGAGGCCAGACGATGATAGTGCGGTGGCATGAAGAAGGTAGATTGGGAGGAAGAAGAAAGGTTTCGTATACTGTACAATACTGAAAATAATTTATATTTTAGGAATATCTTTTTTATATTTTTGTTAGAGGGTATTTTAGTATTTTATTATACCTTAATTTCGTGTATAAATAGCCTAGTAGTAGGTAGGTCAATGTAATTCATTATTTCTTATTTTGTAGCCGTCATTAAATATATTTCGTTTGTCTTTCATCTCTTTTTTGTACATCAACAATTGATATCAGAGCTCCGATTCGAAATCCATGAGAAAACACGGGAAACACGAGTGAACAGTGAGGTATTATTGAGAATCGTTTTTCTGATTTTGTGGGGTTTGAAAAACACTTTTAGAGAATTGTGAGTGAATCACACAAGATTGAAGATGAACAGAAACAATGATAGAAATTCTAAGCTTCCAGCGTTTGATGGCAAAAACTGGAATTGTTGGAAGATCCAGATGCGTGTGCTGTTTGGTTCTTAAGATGTGTTAGATCTTGTCACTGATGGCTATGCTCTGTTAGCAGCAGACGCAACAGACGCACAGAAGATAACACAGAAGACGCTAAGGAAGAAAGATCAGAAGGCGTTGTTCTACATCCATCAATGTGTGGATGGGAACGTGTTTGAGAAGATTGCTGACTCTGAAACAGCAAAGGCTGTGTGAGACACACTGGTCAGATGTTACGGTGGTGACGCGTCATTGAAGAAGGTGAAGCTTCAGTCTCTAAAAAAAATGAGAATCTCAACATGAAGGACAACGAGAAGGTTACTAAGTACATCTCTAGAGTGATTCTTATCACTAATGAGATGAAAGCTTGTGGAGAAACTCTTTCTGAATAAATAATCATTGAGAAGATAATGAGATCTTTAACTTCTCATTTTGATTATATTATGGTAGCAATTGAATATTCCAAAGATCTGAGCACCATGAGAGTTGAAGAGCTGCAAAGTAGTCTAGAGGCGCATGAGTTGCGTATGACTGAGAGAACTTCTGAGAAGGAAGTAGAGCAGCAGGCTCTAAAAGTAATTTCTGGTAAGAAGTATCAGAAGCAGACTTGGTCAAAAGCCAAGAAGAAAACCAATAGTGGTCAAAAGTCATAAGCTTCAAACTCTGATAGGCAGAAGAATGTCCAGAAGGAAAAAGAAAAGTCTGACAAGAATGTTCAGTGTTACTGTTGCAAGAACTTTGGTCATTATGCCAAAGATTGCTAGTCAAACAAAGAAAGGAAGTCAGAAGAAGCAAATATAGCCAGAGGAGAGTCTGATGATGAACCTGTGCTATTGTTGGCCTCTGAACCTGATAATATAAATTCATCAGAATGGTGGTATATGGACACTGGGTGTTCAAACCATCTTATTGAAAACAAGAAATGGTTGGTTGATTTTGACTCTGAAAAGAGTACAAAGATCACATGTGCTGATGATAAATACTTCAATGCAGAAGGTATGGGAAATGTCTGAATCATTCTAAACAATGAGAAAATAGCAGTGGTCCATAATGTATGGTATATACCTGGCATGAAAAGTAATCTGATGAGTGTGGGACAATTGATTGAGAAAGGTTTTTCGATTACCATGAAGGACAATCTTCTGAAACTGTATGACTGTAATCAGAAGCTGATTATGGAGTCAGAACAAGGAAGAAATAGAATATTCAAGGTGAATGTTAGAACTAGAGACTATGAATGTCTTAGTGCAACAAGTGTTGTCAAGGAGAGTGAGTTGTGGCACATAAGATTTGGTCATCTAAATTTCAGAAGCTTAGGGCATTTGAAATCAAAGAAGTTGGTACATGGAATTCCTACAATCAAAAAGCCTGAGAAATCATGCAAGGTGTACATGGAAGGGAAGCAACCAAGATTACCATTTACATCAAAAGTATCTCCAAGAGCAAAGTATGCCTTACGAGTAGTGCATTCTGATGTGTGTGGTCCATTTCTAGTAGCATCAGTTGGAGGGAATAAATACTTTGTGTCATTTGTTGATGAGTTTACCAGAATGACATGTGTATCTCTCATAAAGAATAAACATGAAGTGTTTACTGAATTCAAGAAGTTCATACTGAAGGTTGAGAGTCATAGTGGCCAGACTCTGAAGATTCTTAGAACTGGTGGTGGTGAGTATAACTCCACAGAATTCAGAAGGTTTTGTGAGAAAAATGAAATTAAGCATGATGTTATTGCTCCCTATACTCCTCAACACAATGGTCTTGCTCAAAGAAGAAATCGTACTTTGCTTGATATGGTGAGAAGCATACTGAAAGAGAAGAAGTTTCCTCATATTTTGTGGGGAAGTTGTTGCCACTGCATGTTATGTGCTCAACAAATTTCCAACGAAGAAGTTGAAGGAAATAGTTCTTATTCAGAAGTGGACTGGAGATAAGCAAAGTGTTAGTCATCTGAAGGTGTTTGGTTCTGTATGTTACAAACATGTCCCAGAAGCCAGAAGATAGAAGTTGGATGATAGAAGTAAAGTAATGTTACTGGTGGGATACCACAGTACAGGTTCGTACAAACTTTATTGTCCAGAAACTAACAAAGTTGAGTTTAGAAGAGACATCATTGTAAAAGAATCAGAATTATGGAATTGGGAAAGGTCTCGTCTTGACTCTGATGAGAGAACTCCTAAAGAAAAGTCAGAAACACATGTTTCTGAAGCTGATAAAGACTTTGACTCTGAAGAAGATTCAGAAGGTGAAGATTATTATGACTCTGACTCCGATGGTGATTCAGACTCTGGAAATTTTCCAGACTCTGAAGACAGTCAAGATTCTGGAGAAAGTCTAATTTCTGAAGCAAGAGCTTCGAAAAGGGAAAGTTCTGGTGACCGAGATTCTGAAGTTCAAATTCAGAGGCAACAAAGAGTCAGAAACATCCCAAGAAGATTTACAGAGATTGACATGTTACAAGACACTGAAGTATACTCTGAAGGAGAAGTTATTCAGTGTACAATGTTAGTAGACTCTGAACCCGTTAGTACTAAATATGCTCTTAAGCAGCAAGTCTGGTTGCATGGCATAAAAGAAGAACTTGATGCTATAGAGAGAAACAAGACTTGGAAGCTGGCAGAACTTCCAAAAGGCAAGAAAGCTATCAACGTCAGATGTGTTTTCAAGCAGAAGCTAAAGCCAGATGGATCAATTGGCAAACTCAAAGCAAGATTAGTATAGTAGCAAGAGACTTTCTACAGAAGCCTGGGATGGATTACTCTGGAGTGTTTGCACATGTACTGAGATATAAAATAATCAGACTAGTGATTGCAATAGCTGCTAACATGAATTGGCCTCTGATGCATTTAGATGTAAAATCTACATTTCTGAATGGTCCATTACAAGAAGAGGTATACGTATCACAACCTCCTGGATTTGAGAAAAAGAATCAGGAAGGGATGGTGTTCAAATTACACAAAGCCTTGTATGGATTGAAGCAAGCGCCCAGAGCCTGTAATCTGAAGATTGATTCATTTTTCAAGGGATAAGGGTTTCAAAAGTGTGAGATGGAGTATGGTGTTTATGTTCAGCACACTTCATAAGGTAATATGATTATGGTATGTTTGTATGTTGATGACATATTGCTCACAGGAAGTTTTGAACAAGAGATAGCTAAGTTCAAGAAGGTTCTGATAAATGAGTTTGAGATGACAGATCTTGGGAAAATGAGTTTCTTTCTAGGGATGGAATTTATGTACTCTGAGAAAGAAATCATTTTGCATCAGATGAAGTATGAAATTGAGCTTCTGAAGAGATTTGAGCTAGAGAATTGCAAAGTTGCTATCACACCTGCTGATACAAATCAGAAGTTGGACTCAAATTCTGAAGGAGAGGACGTGGATGCTACAACCTTCAAACAAATGGTTGGTTCTCTGAGGTATTTGTGTAATACTATACCTGATATTTTCTACGCAGTTGAAATGGTTAGCAGATTTATGAGTAAACCAAAGTGGTCTCATTACCAAGCTGCTGTCAGGATTATGAGGTATGTGAAGGGAACTCTTAAGTATGGAGTGTTATTTCCTTCTGGAAGAAAGATCGAATCAGAATTTCTGAGTTATTCAGACTCTGATTGGCGTGTAGAGTTAACAAAAGAAGTACTTCTGGATACTTACTTAAATTTCTAGGAGATCCTAATTTTTGGTGTTCCAAAAAACAACCTGTTGTTGCGCTGTCAACCTGTGAAGTTGAATATATTACAGGAGTTCTGACTGCATGTCAAGCTGTGTGGATTCTGAACTTGCTGCAAGATCTGAAGATTGAGGTAGACAAACCTCTGAAGCTGATGATTGATAACAAGTCTGCAATCAATCTTACCAAAAACTCAGTGCTGCATGAGAGAAGCAAGCATATTGAGACCAAATATCATTTTCTGAGGAATCAAGTTCATAGTAAAATATTAGAAGTTGTGCATTGTAACACCCATAAGCAACTGACAAATGTTCTAACAAAGGCTATCAAGACTAATCAATTTCTTCGTTTGAGGGATGAAATTGGTGTTGTCAGTTTTGTGTAAATATAAATTAAGGGATGGTGTTGAAAATAATTTACATTTTAGGAATATCTAAAAATATCTTTTTATATCTTTGTTAAAGGGTATTTTAGTATCTTACTATACCCTAATTTTGTATATAAATAGCATAGTAGTAAGTAGGTCTATATAATTCATTATTCTTTATTTTATAGCCGTCATTAAATATATTATGTTTGTCTTTCGTCTCTCTTTTATGCACCAACATATAAGAGAGAAGAAGAGAAGTTGTTATTATTCCAATTGGATTATTTGTTTTTTAACTTGTTAATAATAACTCAAATATTGTAAAAATGTTCAATCATTTAATACTTGTAACTAAGCATTGTTTCTTAATGTTAAGATTCCACCAAGGATCAAAAGTAAAGTAATCTGAAATGATAGTGAGTAAAATTTACAAAATAAAATTACCGAGACTAAAACGGTATTCACCTCATATGACAGAGACTAAAAGCATTTTTAACCCTTATTTTATTCATTGCTTCAGTATTTGTCTTTTAAATTTGACTGAGAAACATTTTGAAAATGCATGGTTATCTCAGAGTCATGAATACCCAACCAATTTTGGTGAGATTTGAGACCTCCACAATTGAGTATCCAATGATGAATTGAATTGTGTGATATGCAGCATACATTAATATTGCTTGTGTATACTTAAGTTTAACGGCTAAAATGAGTTTTGGAATAGTTCATTAGGAAGTTTTATGAACTAAGCTTGCACGTGAATTGTCACTTTTGTTTGTCAATAAAGTCTCATATGAATTTTTAACAAATATATTTAGTGTTTATATAGCTCAATAATAATGCATCTTACAAAATAGAATAATTAATGTGGAAACGAAATGGACAGGAGGCTCAATCAATAAACTTTTACTAATTAATTAATTTTTAAAATAATTAATTTTTGAAAAATTAATTAAAAGTTATTATTAATTTAATATTATTATATTAAAAAATATTAAATAATAAATTATCTTAGTATCATTGCTATGTCATTTAAATTTAGACACATCAGCTTTTTTTGAAGGAGAAAATGAGATTTAAGATTAAAATTGCAACAAAAAGATATTATACAGAATGTTTTGTTCAATTTGAAAAAGGAATGGACAATTTCCTGACTTGGTCAAAATGCAATGATCAAAAGTGTCATTAAACTTTTAATAAAAAAAGTTAAACTTAGCCTTTTTAAAGATCCATTTTAATTAAATAAGTCAGATTTAAACTATTAAAAAATAGATTGGTATATATATATATATATATATATATATATATATATATATATATATATATATATATATATAAAAAATCTTATAGCTCAGTTTATATATGCATATAAATTAGAAAATAAACAAAATAGACTGACTTATAAGATTTCATACATGGAACAAACTTTTAAATAGATTTTCACGCCATGTCAGACTTTTAAGAAGGTCAGATCAAATTAAAAAATAAAGGTTATAATAGGTCAGAGACCAAGTTCAGGCCTTAAAAATTTATTATAGGTCAAGTTTAGGTCTTCTAAGATCTGGTCTGACCTATCTGCACCCCTAATGGAGAACAACATACTACAATCAAACAATGTTATGCCAGTTCGTGGTGAGCTTAAGAAAAAAGGGATCAATTATCCCATATTATGCCCCATGTACTTCACTCTTGAGGAGATTACTAACCACGTATTCATGAGGGGTAATTGGACAAATAAGGTTCGATACTAGGTTTAACATAACCTTTAATAATGATATGATGCCCAATATTCAGATATGGAACTGGGACACTATAGCTGAGAAAGACAAGGAGGTTAACATAAGGGTAATGAACACCCTTTATTGTATCTGGTGGACACGAAACAGAGCTATCTTTTATAATCAAGATCAATCTAGCTTGGAGATAACTACCTACTTTGACTACAACTACAACTACTATCCCAACAAATAGGAGTAACTATATGTCTAGAGAAGTCGACACTAGCAATCCTACTGAAAACAAAAGTTGAGAAATGGATCAAACTAACCTCAAGGAGCAACATCGGAAGTGCATAAATATTCTGTCGGAGCAGAGCAACAGAAGGAGTGCAATATGAAGAACAAAGGTGATGACCATGTTAAGGAAAACAAGAACACGAATCAATAGAGCACCAACAATTAAAATAACAATATCAAAGGGAAAGGAATCATGAAAGATTACCCGAGCACAAAGAGAAATACTCAGTCGAGGAGAAAAATGCATAAAAAGCAAGACCAATTGAAGGATACAAAGTCTAGTACAAGATGGTACATTGGTGAAAGTTCAAAGGGGAACCAAGATAAGGAAGCCATAGGAAAATACATAAAAACTCTTGAACACACATGGAGAGCAAACAAACACAAAAACAAGGGCATTATCATTAAGGAAAACAACAAGTATAGTAGGAATGATAAAGTGAAAGAAGGGTACAACAACAACAACAAAAATAACAAAAGTGGCAACAACATAAGTAATAATGGAGATTACCTGAGCAAGAATCAGCTAGTCAACGAAGCTATGTCAAGTCAAGCAACCACTCATACTCTTTGTAATCAGAAAACTAGAAGTAGTGGTATATGCTATGAAAACAATGCCGTTAGTCAGAATAAAATGAAGGAATGTCAAAATAAGGTAAACAATAAACGAAAAAGCGGATATTAAGGATCTTACAGGGAAGACGGCGAAGAATGGCGTAGCAAAAGCAAAAGCTGAAGAACACAAGTGGTCTGGAAAATGCACTGATGATTCTGAAGATCAACCAACAGGGAACCAAATAAGGTATAGATATGAAGATAAGGTGGAAAGTCATAATCAAAGGCACAAATATAGTAGATCGGAAAAGGAGAACAAAAATCTAAGTAAGAACAAGGTGTATGAAGAACATAACAACGAAATAAATAAACATGCAAAGGAGAAAAAGATTAAGGTTAATACAAACTATTTCATTTAGAAGTAAAATTGAAATATATATACTTTTCTACATGGATATGTACGATTCGGTAGCGAAGGAAGACACAAAGTTGAACAACGTGATAGTGGGAAATTGGAAAAAGTTTCATCAAAGGGAATTGCAAATCTCACCATAAATTAGAGGTGGTTTCGGACTAAAAGTGTCATCCGAAAGAGAACCGAAAACTTTGAAAATGAATCCATTTCCGACCGTATTCCTAGCGGTTATCGTGGCTTTCGGGTTTGACGAAGAAACGGGTATGTCGGACGGATTGTTTCGGTTGTAAACTCTTAAGGTAATGTAAAATTTTCTCTTCCTTGCTCTTTTTAATAATTTTAGATGAATCTCACAAAAGTTGATTTCAATATTTTTGGAAATACTTGAATGAAGACCAACATATCTAGTGTGAATATGAGATCTGGTGTGAAGATGGATGAATATAATGGAAGAAGTGGTATAGTGAAATCAAATTTCGTGGAAATGATGAGTTTGTGAAGTTGAGAAGAAAAACAAATAGCTCTGCAATGTTTTGAAGAAGAAGAAACGAACAAACTACAAAGAGAGAGAAAATGAATTTTAGTTTTTAAAATTTGCAAGAGAGAAATAATAGTGAAATATTGAATTGATGTGTTCAGAGCATTAAAGGTAATGTATAAACGAATGTTGCATTGATAAGATAAGTGTAAATAGGAGAGATAGGAGAGATAACTGTTATTTATCTATGACTATTAATTAAAGCTATGTGTAGTAATGTTAAACTTGTAGTATTTCGGACGGTTTCGGTTAATAGTGGGTGTCATTTTATAAAATTAATCCGACCGACAAAATCCTTAGCAGTTTTTTCAATTTTTTGAACCCGCAATCCAAACCGACCCTTCTGTAGCACTTACAAATTTTTCGTTTTTTTTTTTTTTTTCCGATCAGGTGGTCGGAATCTGTCCACCCCTATCATAAATGGTGGAAAAATATCTTATAAAATCTAAAATTTTATATTTGATTTTGGAAATACATATGTAGACACGTCTTGCGTCTCACCAAATCACATCCACTTGAGTCTCACTCTTGTATTTTTGTCAAAACTTATTTTGGAGATGTAATTCCGAAACCATTTCATATACACTCTCATGTAATTTTAACTAAAACACCCTTTTTGACATAAATTGATAAGGATATGCATCTTCGTATTTACATTAGACATAATTTCGAGATACATCTATGGAACTACACCAGACAATAATTTTGACTTTGTTTTAGAGATGTTCAGAGGAAATTGACGATATATTATAGTTATATTATCATTTTCAATTCTGTATAAATTAAACCATACACTTTCGAAATAATATGAAAATGACATATGAATTAATAAATCTGGAATACACAATAAACTCAAAATAAAATACAGACGGCAATGGCGCTCATAATAAAAATATTATAAACTATTGCGTATGACGGACTCAGGTCTCTATGTTCATACGCTATCTCCCAGTACTGCAGTGCCTCTCGTGTCTCCCCTATTATGTCATCTAGAACGTCCTTCACCTCAGAGCCATCCGAAAAGATTCGTTTGTCTATACATGTCCTCCCAATCTCCATGACACGACAACATCTTGGCAACACATCAACAACATGATCTTCCCTAGCCTGCTCATTCTCTAGTATCTCTTGATGAGCAGACATAGGTGGATCTCCCAGAGCATCTGGTGTCATATAAGGATGTGACATCCTGAAATACTATTGGATGTAGGTGACATCTGTCTCCTACGGTAATACAAAGATGGAGATGTATGAGCCCCTGAAGTTGACGTCTCTGCATCAACCGCGCGAGAAATGTCAGGTTTAGAGGTTTAGAGTTTGAGAGAGTATTTTGAAAAGCAAGGAAGGAAAAATGGTATAACACGTTTTTAATTAAAACAGTGTTCAGAGATGCATCTCTATAATTTACATAGAGATGCATTTATGTTTTTTTTTGCATTTCCTTAGGTTCTTACTCCAAAATGAATGTGTTTAAGGTGCGTCTAGAAATGGATCTCCAGAATCTTGAACTATTTTGAAATTTTTACAAGGGTGTGGTAGGATTTCTTAAGCAATTCCCTTCATCAAAAGAATGTTAGTATAATCTAGAAGTGTTTTGGATCTCAACGTATTCCACCATGTGGCTACAAGAACGAATGCCCAGACTATATAAACCAATATCGAAAATATGTATCAAATAAAGATAACATGAAATAAAATTTCTTTGATTAGAAAATTAGTTCATCTAAAACACATAGCAGGGAGATCATTTGTAGAACACTTGAGTTGTTTACAAGACTTTGCAACCCGATTTTTTTTTATAAAGTTGGTCTAGAAAACAAACACCAAGCACTATTACTTTTGAGTTCTTTGTTGAAAAGTTGACAAAATTTGGCGGGGTTATTAAATAAAGTATTTTTTAGATCAAAAACTAACATAATTTATTTCAAGTAAAAGATATCAAGAGTAATGAAGAAACAATAATAAAATACACGGGATCAAGTACCTCCCAGGACCTTGTCACTAAGAGGATAGGGAGAAGTAAAGCAAATGGAGATCCAATAAATAATCCAAAGATAAATCATAATATAAACCTTGAAGAAAGTTCAAACTTTTTTACTCAGGAGACGCATGTCACATCAAAAGGAATTGTAAAGCATAGAAGAGTAGATAAAATAAAGAGAGAAGGAATCAAAGACTAAATGAAGTTAAACATATCATGATCCTCGTAATTGATGAGAAATTTGTAGAAGTATACTTTAAAATTTTAGGTAATTAAGAGAACGAAAACATGTTTTTTGAGATTTCCAAAAAAAGAATGTCATAAACAAAGCTAGAAAGTTAACAGGGGACACGGGAGCCTCTAGTATTTCAATTAACAAATATGTTTGTTAATAAGTACTGTTCTTGACACATTATGAATTTGTTGGGATTTTGCATTAATAAATATGTATCATTATCATTCTTGTGAGGGAAACCTTTAGGAAAAAGACAAAGAGAATAGGTGATAATCCTAGTGGAAAACTTATAGAGGCAAGGGTAATAATTCCTTGGAGATCTTGGAAATGGGAAACCTTTGAAAGTATCTAAGGGGATTGAAAACCACTTGTAAACACCTTGGATTTATATGTTTCATATATAGAGAGAGTTGGAGAAATTTAAAAGCACTTGAGATAAAAAATAGAGTTTATTCTTGGAAATATGGATGATTATTTCTTGTAACTCTTTTGTAGTTATTTTGGATGTTAACTCTTTTGTAGTTTCTTGTGTCTCTTTTATCTTTGTGAGTTATTTTGTGTTCTTGTCTTTTATTTCCCTTTTTCTTATTGTGGATTTTTTACACTGATTGTAGGTTATTTTGGCGGCTTGAGACCATTTACTTTGGTTTCAATTGTTCTTTGTCTCCACACATATTTACTATCAACAAATATTGTTGTTAACTTTCAATGATAGATTGATGTGATTTAAAATTTCAATTTCACAATAAGTGGCGCCTACTGTGGGACAAATATATTAAGTTTACATGTGAGCATTATAACTTATAAATGGTATTGTAACACGGTGGGATAACTTACTTGGGTGTTTTGCGTTTGATCACAATTGTTGCGGATAGCAAGGGTCGCCACCGACTTTTCTTTTATCCAATAAGGAAAGGCTGAAAAGAACAGGAAATACCTTTCAAGATTATTTCTTGAGTTAGGGGGGTAGGTTATGAAAAGGGAAGGTATTAGCACCCTTTTCATCCGTAGTTATCTAATGGCTCTTAGTTGCTTGTTAGATCACTTGCTTTTGTTTGAAAATGTTCTTGTGGTGTGGGTTTGAAGATATTTTGAAAACGTCTTTGTAATAATTCTCGTTTCTATAAGAATGCGTACAAAGTGTTGGTTTTGAAAATAGTTCAAAGAGGTGTTTGTGGAATGTGTTTTTGAAAGTGATTTTGAAAAGTGTCTTTGTAATGATTTTCATCTCTATAAGAATGCGTACAAAGAGCTTTGTATTTGAAAATGTTTCAAATGAAAATGTTGGTGTGTAAAATGTTTTTGTTGTGAGCAAGCGAGCAACTATGAGCGTCCTACATACTCAAAAGGTTTAATGTTCTTTCCCTCCTCCTTTAGATGTTGCTATCTTACCAATGATTTGGTAAGAAGCCCCATCATTGGATGTGAAGAGACGGTCGCGGGTCGTTTGTATAGTCATAGAAGGCAACCTATGGGATGCTTTAGCAATTTCGTTTTAGGGACTAGATCGTTTACCGAAGGCAACAAGTGAGATTACCTTAGGGGGTGCATGTGTGTGAATAATGTGTTTGATTTGCATGTATTTAGTCTTTGATTAGGGTGATCTACTTGTTAGTTTTATCTTGCCATACATCCTAATTACTAACATTTGTACAAAAGCAATAAAAATACAGAAAATAAATCATACACTATTACAACCATATAGAATAGCAAGAAAATGTAAAGACAAAACAAAATAAAAGGAGGAAAAATGAGCTTTTCGATCTAGGCAGAAATACCCTTCGATTCTGCCCTTCTTGGATTCCTTTGATTTGGCCTGGAAGTAGTAAGGACACGCCTTTCAATTTCATCCCTTTCCTGTTTCTTTCAAATGGTACCTGGAAGTCAGTGTGTGGGTAGCTTTCGATTATGCCTTTCTCCTTCCTTCGAATGGCCTGGGAGTCAGTGTGTGGCGAAGCCTAAGGCCACACTCTTTGTTCTGCTTGCCAATGTGAAGCAGCCAAGGATGAAGCCTAAAGCTTCGATTCACACCTCCTTCCTCATGTTTTCTTTCGTTTGGGATTTTAATAACAACATGGCCTGAGGCCATGCTAGTATTGTCTCACGGCCAGGTTAGTTCTTAAAAACGTTTGATAAATCAAGAAACAAAACCAAAAGGTTAGCAATGAAAACAAACTGAAAATGTGGAAACGAAAAGGAAACAAATGTCATGTACATGTTTTGAAACGAAAAGCTTAAGGTCAGAGTGACTTACCTTGCTTGAAGCTGGGGTATGTGAGTTGGACCTTTAGCTGCTGCCCTGGATGCTCCTGGATTCTGAGGGAATAAACGAAGGTGATTTTCTAATGCTGGATTTGAAGGTCCAGAAGAGTGGGGGTGGTACTTGTTATTCCTGGATTCGAAGGAGAAGAACATGTGTGGTGTTCTTTCTACTGGATTCGAAAGAAAAACAAAGTGTGGGGTTGTTCCTGGATTCGAAAGGGAAAGGAACAAAGGTATGATCCTTTGATTCTGGGTATGGTGATGTGTTAAGTGTTTGATAAATTTCATACAATCAAGGTTTTTTTCCCAGCTACCAAAGGCCTCTGGATGTGTTCTCCATCCCCTTTAGATGTTATGGAGCCTCTTATTTATAGACGAAGTTGGCCGAGGTTTAGTAGGGAAAACAAAACAATTTGAAAAAAATGGGTAAACTATTTTTGTAGCTTTCGAGAGGCAGTGTTCGTATGCCAATTGGTGCAAGAATAGGGGCAGTGTTTCAGGACTGCTATGCAGCAATTTTGGAGCGTTATGGCCACTGCATCAGGCCTGAACTTGGCAGTAAGCATCTTTTGATATCTCAACCTTTCGTTTTGACCACCTAGGTCCAACCTTTGACCAAATTCTTCTTCAAACAATACTATTTGATTTTCACCCAACAAGTGTCTTTCAAATGGGTCATATGTGTATCTTTGAAAGGGCCA